TATAACTTCACATATCACGCGGTTTTGCACTTTAAACGACTATATGTTCATACATAAAAACCATCGAATGGTAGCAACTTTCATCATTTAATCGATGATTTATGCACATACATATTATGTAAATTTTTTAAATTACCAAAAATGTGTGTCCATCCCGCGACCTGTCTTTATGACCAGTTTTTATTGTCAAATCGATATTTTCATTTCTCAATACCAGGCGCTCATATATGTGAAGTAACAAGTTTTCTCTTTCTAAGCAGAGAATCTACTTTGTGAATTTCAAAGGCTTCTACAAACGAATTAAAAAGTGATACGAACAAATGTATGCGTATGGAAAGCTTGCCTGGTATTGGGAAATGAAAATGTCGTATTGTAAAATTAAAAATTGGTTCTTTGTATAAAATGGGTCCACTTTCTTTATACAAATTTGCTGTTGGCTACATTTTGCTCCATGTTTGTTATTTAACATAAGAGTCTATTAACATTATGTAGCATTAAACGAAAACTTCCAAAAATACTCAAAAAATTCTTGTGAAGGGACATTTTTTTTGTGGAAGTTTAACAGCATGGTACTGCTGATTTATGTTTTCTTTTTTTCGGAACATAATTTGCTTGAGTACTTTTTTTATGTATACAGCGCTCAATAGCTTCACTTCTCTTCCTTCCTAAAGGCCTGTATGCAGCTCTCAAGAAAACGGTCAAGAAAAATTTGCCATTATTTCGTGTGTGTATCCAAGGAATTTTGACATTTTTGATACTTCACAGCCTGTTGCCTCTTGAAATAATGGAACGGGCATATATTTCTGTTGCAAACCTGGGTTGCCTTGTGCTCTTTTTTCACAAAAAACTTTAGAAAACCGTAGTAGACGTAGTAAATTTCTTAAGAACTGCGTACTGCCTTAAGGAAATTTGACTCAAGAAAATTTCTTAGCCATTTCTTGTACGTCATTTTATATGGAGTTTTTGCTTTTCTTGAGAGCTGCATACAGGCCTATACCCCTTTTGTTAGAGTATGAGTAGTTTACATATTTGAAGTAAACTTCACAGTGAAGCAAACTGAATTCCGATGCAGACCTTTAGTATACATATATTGGTAACGGTAGGGGCAATACTATTCAAAAAAGAGCTGCAAGCTGGCGCTGGAGTCGAGTTATTGGTAAAAATCGTCAAGTGAAGTCATTCGGTGACACCAGGGATCAAAGTTAAATTATCACCGATAAATCAGCCATCAGAACCATTGCGGTCCTTTCCTTACCGCGACTAAACAGAATAAAGACAATTCTTGATAAATGCCTGCCAATACAGTTGTAAGATGTTTAAGGTACTCCGTCTGAAATAAGTCTATGTATATTGCCACCAACTATACTATACAGATTCTAGCACAATTCCCCATCGAATCGGATCATTGTTGTCGGAAGAATTTCTTCATGGACATAACGCTTTCATTATGCCTTCTGAGGACCGCAAAACCAGACGTGAACGTGAAGTTTTGGTGAAAGCGTTGAACAAAATGTTTTAGTAAAAAATTAGTTTGGGCCGGACAAGGTTCGCCGGTTCTGTTAGTTGCCAGGGCTGCCAGTTTGGCTCAAACCGTGCCGTTTTTGGCCCTATTTTACTTCAAATGCCGCTTAACTTTTCAATTTGGCACTAAGTGCTAAAATGCCACTTTTGAAAAATAGTAATATTTGAATACATTTTTTTCTCAAACTAAAATTTTCTAATTTCAGTAGTGTATGCAACTGGTTTATCTTTCTTTTTTCATTGGACTTTTGAATGGGAAGAATTAAAAAGAATGCCACCTTTTTTGGCACTTTTATTTTTCTATTTGGCACTTTATATCCTCAATATGGCACTTCATAGCTAAGTATAGTTGGGAGCCCTGCTAGTTGCATTATAAATAGAGATTTTTGGAATGACTCGACTCTAAGATCACCTAGTGGATCCATTTTTCGTAAGAGTATTAACCGTCACATCCACATTATACGTTTCCGATTTCATCAAAATCGGATCATAAATTGAGATTTTCTGAATATCTCGACTCTTGCGCCAGCTAGCGGATTAAAGTATAGCATATGTCCTTGCAACGGTTCCAAGGCACATACCGTCTAAATTTGACTGAAATCCGTTCATTAGTTTTTGAGCCAATTGGTCACAAAGCACATATGTTTACATACGGCTACATTTTTATATGTATGTAAGCTCAAGTTTCATATTTGTTTATTATTTATGTTTGTCCATTAACCCCAAAAAATTGAAACAAATCAAACACATAATGTGTGAACCCCGTCCATTTTGGTATGGAACGCCCCATATACTATAAAAATGTACGTATAAACCCATGCTGTTGAAAATAAAATTTGTGATATATTCAACTAAAATGCACACAATATTAAATACGTTCGCGTACCTGTCAATTATTGAAAGTTATCAAAACCTATCAGGCTTTGCGTTCGCGTACTTGTAGAACGGAACAAGAGAATGACAACAGCCCTGGCTCAACCTCTGACTGCAAACGAACACACAGTTGACTTCGCACAAGAATATTGGACGTAGAATGAGGAGAAAGAAGGAGAATAACATTGGAAAGCCTTCGTATACAACAAAACTTAGACAGCGCGATGTATTTTAAAGACGATATGAACAAAGCAAACAACGCATACACAGCTGTGATAAAACGAGAACATTCAAATTATATTAGAAAAGATAGGCAACATTATAAAGTACTTAGCTATAGAATTGTGATGTGTTGTGTTAGTGACTGTTGAGTTTTTAATTTAAATGTAAGTTAAAAAATTTTGTATAGGCCTTTTTGCTATACGTATGTTTGTTAATATTATGATTGTAATTCATGTTTATTGTTTTATTTATTGTTTAATAAAACAGACTCCCTGAGGAAGACGCAAAGCGTCGAAACGCGTAGGAGGGAAGGAGGAAAATTTACATTAAAAATTACACACTAACCAAAATATTTATAAGGACGAAAGATAAAATAGAAAAGGAGCAACAAAGTAATGTTGTCTATGAAATAAAATGTAAAGGTAAAAATAATAACCACTGTAATAAGTGCTACAAAGGCACAACATAACGCGCGTTGGGTATAAGGATCGGCGAACACAAGGCAGACGAATGGAACAAGAGAATGACAACAGCCCTGGCTCAACATCTGACTGCAAACGAACTGACTTCGCCAACACAAGAATATTGGACGCAGAAAGAGGAGAAAGAAGGAGAATTACATTGGAAAGCCTTCGTATACAACAGCTGTGATACAACGAAAACATTACACTATGCGACAGTCAAAATCGGGATGGGATGAAACCAACGGGAAATGTTATATCGGTCAAAAATAAGTTATACGTGGCCCGGCGTTTCGCTGGGTCACGTCTAGGAATCGAGATATATCGATTAGAAGTTAGTAACTATCATATAGAGGGAAATTGTCACCTTTGGTGGTCTTTTTTTTGACATAACTCGAGAACCACTAGTCCGATTTTGCTCAAACAAACTAAAAAAAATTAAAAATTACAATTCCTTTAATCTGTTCGTATAACGTTTTTCTATATAATTAACAGTTTTGCCGGTAAAAATAAATGTATGAAGAAAAAAAATATTTTTTGCCAAAAATTTTAAATTTTTTTATTTTTTAAATTCATAAAAAATCCAAAACGGAAAAAAAGGCAAGTCGTATTACTTTCACGCAAAGTCACATAACCTTTAAGCAAAATGAGACATAGATCATGAAAAGCGATGGACGCGTTTCGCTTTAATTTTTCGATACCTTCACTTAATTTATTTTTACCGGCAAAACTGTTGATTATATAGAAAAACGTTATATGAACAGATTAAAGGAATTGTAATTTTTATTTTTTTTTTATTTATTTGAGCAAAATCGGACTAGTGGTTCTCGAGTTATGTCAAAAAAACGACCACCAAAGGTGACAATTTCACCAATATGATAGTTACTAACTTCAAATCGATATATCTCGATTCCTAGACGTGACCCAGCGAAACGCCGGGACACATATAACTTGTTTTTGACCTATATAACTTTCCCCGGTAGTTTGAAGCCTTCCCGATCACTGACCCCTACCATTTGTCTCACAGTGTTATTATTAGAAAAGATAGGCAATATTACTTACTTACTTATACTTAGCTATTACTTAGCTATAGAAATGTGATGTGTTGTGCTTATGACTGTTGAGTTTTTAATTTAAATGTAAGTTAAAATATTGTGTATAAGCCTTTTTTCTATACATATGTTTGTTAATATTGTGATTGTAATTCATGTTTATTGTTTTTATTTATTGTTTAATAAAACAGACTCCCTGAGGAAGACGCAAAACGTCGAAACGCGTAGGAGGGAAGGTAGAAAATTTACTTTCGTTTCTCTTTTTCATCGGCCGAATTTGCTCCATAACCCAGCAAACAATTTAATAAGGAATTTAGCCCAAAATTATAACTAAAAATAATAATAATAGATTGGCGCTTACATATATGTAAGTGTTTGGCCGAGCTTCTCCTCCGATTTGTCGCGTGAGCCTTGATGTTGTCACACAAAGAGGACGGACCTACAGTTACACGCCGACTCCGAACGGCGATTGTATTTCAACGAGAAGCTGTTTTTCACTGCAGAAATACAATCGGGGGTTTGGCATTGCCTTTCGAGGGGCGACCGCTGTTAAGAATAAATGTTTTTTCTAAATTTTTTTGCGATGTTGCTTTGACCAGGGCTTGAATCCAGGCACTGCGGAGCGGAAGCACGCACTGCTTACCACTACACCACAGTGGCCGCTCACTAAATAGTTTATTAAAATGAAATTACAACGTGACTATTTTTACTGGAAGGGCCCCATCCAAAGAACTTGCCTCAGATGGTGTAGTTACGCCACTGCTAGGAAGCATTAAATAAAATTATCTTTTAATAATTAAATATCGTTTAGAATCATTATCCAATTAAGCAGTTTCTAATCACACTATTCCATTTCTGTACATTTAAAAAGGCCGCCCGGATCAAGTTCACAATTGTAGCTTTGTATACATATCAATGTCATCGGTGACTATATCTTGTACTGAAGGGTTTAATGGAGGATTGCCTCAACTATTCATTATGGAAGTAAGAAATATGCATTCTAAGGTAAGCATCGTGAGAAATTAATTTTATAAAACTCTTTCTTTAATATTTCGTTTAAAACAGATATTTCTTTATTTTGTGTCATGTTTCTTAATAATTTTATTAAACGTTTTACTTTAATTAATATATGTACACTCTAAAAAATATTGTTTAAATTTACGCGTATTAAGAGAGATAACCAGTTTCCTCTCTTTATGTATGCAAATTTACGCACAGTGTTTATTAAATTAAACACTGTGTGCCATAAACAAATCTAAAATTTGTTTATTGAATTCTATACACTTAACGTTTACAATTTGACAGATTACATATGAAATGTTTAAAATTTGCTTTAAAAGTGTTTGTTTAACCTTTATGTCAACAGCAGAAAAATTATACGTACGTCAACAGCAGCATATCCGGGTATGCACATACATTTTGTATGTGAACCGGCATTGCGTTGTGACGAAAATGTGAATATTTAACACATTTATTTTAATCTGGCAAAGTTTTTATTGTTATTTTTTGAAGTTTTAAATATGTGAAGAAAGACTTCAGAAATATGTTATTTTACTGTATAAATAATGCGTTTCTAAGAAGACACTATATGATCGTTGGTTTTGAATGTATGCAAAAAGGATTGTTTAGGTACAAAACTTGTATGATTATTGAAACAGGGCTTTTGTAGGTAGACCCAAATAATTATTGTTATGTTTGTTCGTTGCAGAGCTGAGTCACTTGTTCCTTGCCTCGGGTGGGGGGTAACAAATAATTCTCAGCAATGCTTGAACTACAAATACTCTTATTTTAAAATTCTCTACCCCTTGCCACTGGTGGGGGGAAGTAGAGTCTAATAAAATAAGAGGTTGGTACTTTCAATATTAAAAGTTTTAAAAGTTTACCGCTGGTGGGGGGGAGTAAAACTTTAATAAAGAAAGAAGAATAAATATTGTTAAATGCTTTACCCCTTACCTCTGGTGGGGGGAAGTAAAGCATAAAAAATAAAATAGAGAAGAAGAGTGGTAGCCGAGAATCTTTATGATTCTATATGTTTATTAAATATTTTCCTTTTATATAAAAATTCTAATTCTATTTTCCTTAACTAGTTATAAATACATATGTATGTGAGTGTGTGTATGTACATGTTGTTTTGGTATGTACTATTTACAAACAACCGCTTTGGTCTCATCATATTTATTTTAATGCTTGCTTTTGCGTCGGCTATATGTATGCATGCAAATAATAGCAATGCATTTTCTTATGCAGGTATGGGTGTATGCATTTGTATGCGCGAACATTATATTATTTCGGTTGTGTACAAAATATTGACAGTGAAATGTGTTAAAATTTATGGGTTTTTGTTAATTTCTCATGTTTACGTACTATTTTATTTATCTTCTATTCTAAAGTGGACTGTATTTTCTGTGTGTCAATAAGTATTATTGTACGTATATTTTTTGTGTTCAGTTTTATTACCCTGGCAAATGTATGTATGTATGCATACATGTTCAAAGATGTTTGATCAATATTTCTTGTTACATGAGGTAGTTCAAAACTTGAACAAACCCGAAGAACTTGTAGCTAAAAAAGTTTTTAAGCTCTAATATTTACTTAAATGCATGTAGCGCGAACTTGGAGACTGAAAAGATATGTCTTTATAACTAAGTGCTACGCAACGAAATAAAATTTATAAAAGTAAAAATTGCAAATGGTGAATAGCCCACTCCACGAGAATTTAGTTCATTTGATCCTGAGGAACAACAAGGATACATTCGCCAGAGGTTGAAGATTTAGGAGACGACAACAGTGACGACAGGCATTTCGTATCTGAATAGGTTGTGGACGATAACGAAGATGAGGTGACTCCAGTTGACTCCGATATAGAAGAAATCGAGTTATCAGAATACGACCCGGAAGATCATGAAGAACTTGACCATATACCGGGGAAACTATACTGCCAAAGAAGGAAACAAGCGGCCTTGGGAATTTTTTATATTATTCTGGATGTGGCTGTTTTTACTACGTACATAATTTACGTCGAGAATTGCCCAAACCTGAAGGCCTTTAAAATCTGACTAGGATGTTCCTTCATCAATTTAGTGAGCAACTGGCGAAACCTGAAATAGAAGTGAGAGCTACTCATAGTCGAATAATCAGAATATACTATACATGCAACGCCATTGAAGCAGTAAACCGCGGTCCTTTGAGGATAATGGATGTTGCAGTATTTAGGAGGCAAGGAAGAACGTGGCAGTGCGGGTAAAATTAAACCAATGGGTAATTTTTCTATATCCGCCCAACAAGGAAAACCTGCATATTTGTTGTGCAAAACACCCGTCTGTGCAGAACATTCTACCAATATGACGCAACGTAATATCTAGATGTAGTTAAAAATCGATTAGTTTTCAATCTATTTATATTTTTTATTTTACAAGTATTATCTTACTATAACAATATTATACTCTTGTATTATTTTAAGAGTTTAAATAATAAAGAATAAAGTTTACTTTTCAAATGTATCAACATACAAATTTGCCTGCGATTTAATATCCATACCCGGGTATGCAGCTGTTGGCGTATGGGGTAAAAGTCGAAAAATGGCCAGATCTCTGCTCCAGGTAGTCCAATCCCACTCAGACTTGGGAATATTACGTAAAATACTTTTGTTGAGGATATCACGAAATTCGTAGTCAATCCGATGTCTTGTTTCTAAGATATAATAGTTTTACGCAAAACATACCCTGGGATTTTGCTGTTGAGATAAAGGTTAAAGTTATGTATATAAAGAGAGGTAAATAGTTTCATCTCCTAATGTGTGCAAATTTACACATCTCGCAATGGTCGGAAATGCCATGTTTTACGTGAAAAAGGCATATTTGAAAACTGTGATAAATTAATCGGAATAAAGCTATGTACTCTTATTCAGAAATGTCCAAGGAACTCAATTTTATTTTCAATTATATCTGCTGAGAAAGCCGATGAATTCGTTTATTTCAACGAATATGATCGTGCTACGTTCTAACAGTTATGTGTTGATAGCTTTCTTAGCAAATTTTTATTGGAAACTTTCCATTATAACAGTAATTGCTGGTTTTGGTGTTTCTTCGTAAATATGCTGATCGCTCAGTGGAAGATCAACCTATCTCGGCAGCTAGTTCGAAAACGCCCTATCTCAGAAATTTTTTCAAGAACGCCCTACTTCAGAATTTGATTGAAGAACGCCCTATTTCAGAATTTTATTGAAAAGGACTCAATCTGAGAATTTGGTTGAAGACCGTCTTATCTCAGGATTCAGTTCAAAAACGTCCTACCTCCAACGAAAATAGATTAAAAATGTGCTGAGATAGAGCACTTTTGAATGGGTAGCTGACATTGGGCGTTTTCGAACTGGTTGCCGAGATAGGTCGATCTTCCACTCAGCCATCGATATGAAATACATATAACACTACTACCGAAAAGTGTTTATTTTTCAACCAGAATCTGTATAAATATACGCCTAAGGTGTTCGTGATTTGATTTTTGAACATGGGATGCTCAAAATATGCACATAAATATATACATGAAAAGTTTAAAACTGCAAACATTTTAAACGTAAAAATACACTTTCTACTAATAATTAGGGGATTCCCTTAAGCTCGAAAGTGGCTCGAAAACCACGAAGCCTCGAAACTTTTCCAGCCTCGAAAAACAACTGTCAAAAATTGTATGAGTGGCGATTTTCGCGTGCCTCGAAAACTTTCGAGGCAAATTAGTCGCGAAAAAAGCCTCGAAAAGTCGTTCGTAAGTTTCAGTGTTGCCTTTATATCCGAATATTCTACGAACTTACTAACCTTGCGTTTACATAAGACAAGACAATCGAGAATATATGAATTGTTGACTGCGTTTTGATCAATAAATTCATACAATTTACATTTTTCACTTTTTCGTGGCATTTTCAATGCTGATTTTATATGTATTTATTTCAGCTGATGCGATGTATTATACAAAAAACTCTGAATGAGCTGTCAAACTTCGGAATTTCTCCATTGTTTACGAGGCTGAAAAAAGGTGCATTCCCAAAAACAGCCTCGAAAACTTTCGAGGTTTTCGAGTTTTCTGCTCTTCGCGTTTAAGGGAATCCCCTAAATAATAAACATTAAATGCTCATATTTAATCAATTTTAAGCTTTCGGTGTGTGAATTTGCTCTTCGCGACAAGTTTTGTACATATGCATATAAAAGTAAACATACAGAGTTTAATTTTATTAACAGGCTTTGTAAAATTGCACTCATTAGGAGACGAAACTGGTTACCTCTCTTTATCTGTTTAAATTTAAACAAACAATTTTTAGAACAAATTTTAAAAATTTTATCAGCTGGATTCTGTGCACTTGATACATATAGATTTTTCATAATTTGTCAATTTTTTATTATTTATCAAGAATTGGAATTCTAGCACAAAAATCCAAAGCTCCTTTCTTGATAAATTATCAAGATTGAAAATGTCATTCACAAGCGTTTACAAATTGATATTTCATATAAAAATTATAAATTTTGTAAATTAAAATTTTTCTTTCTATTATTTACGCTGACGACATACAATAAGTTTTGCCTTTCTATTTCCTCACACCACACATTGCTTGTCAAAAATCAACAAAATTGCAAGCCATTACATAGGCTGCATTCAATTTGAGAAGCAATTTCATTATCAACATCATGCCGTCTTCAAGAAAACAATGTAACTAAAACGATGTTTCCACGGCAAGTGATTCGCTCTCCCATTCGTAATTCGCTCTCTCATTCGTGATTGGCGCCTCAGTTGAAAACCGAATCATGTAATTCGCCATACAAAATTTTGAGAGCAAATCACTTCATTCGTGGGTGATTCAGATCCAATCAACATGCGAATCAAGAATAAATTGTTGTCTTCTCTAATTTTTATCGATAACGGCTGTCAAAACACAGACTACACCACCAGCACAAACATTCGCTAGATTCGTTAAACTATTGATTTAGCTAATTAACAACTGCAAATTTTTCTGAAAT